ACAACTGCGTTCGCCGCAACGAAACTTACGTAGCCGGTGCCGAACAGACTCAGCGCGAGGTAGTTTGCGCCGCACATCGCTGTTAGCAGACAGCAGCCCAACAGGCGCGCTTCACTGCCGCGCGGCAGGTTCGGGAACACTTCGCTCGCCACGCGCCCGATGATGATGTTCTCCACAGCCGCCGCGCCTAAAATTACCGCCTTGTTCTGCGAAACCGCGCAGTACAGCACCGGGTACACCATGTTTGCCAATAGGCCGAAACGAATCGGCACGTCCACCAGCGTGCTGTAAGCGACGCCCTGCGGGATCGCGAGACTCGCGATTACGAGCCCTGTGAGCATCTCGCTGCGCACCTGCTGCAGCGCGTGCCGCCGCGCGGCCGGCGCCGCGGCGCGCACGGCGGCCGCCGCTGCTCCGCACTGCCGCAGCGGCGCAACGGCGAACTGCGCAAACTCGCGCCCGCGCTTCGCCGCGAATTGCGCCACAGAGCGCGCCCCGCCGCGGCCGTAGTGCAGCAAAAACCGCAGCAACAGCACGCTCCGCTTCGGCCGCGCCGCGGGCACCACACGCGCCGCGTTTCGGACTCCCATAGCTCAGCGCAGGCCCTATGTACACACACAACAAATTAGCCACTAATTCAGTTTTACTAAAACGCAAATATCGCTTTCAAATTTTCTCGCAAGAGATTTTAATTTTTGTCTCACTTCGTCGCCTCGTTGAGGCCTCATTCGCGCTGAAGAGGCCCGCAGTTTTTTGAAGAGACGTAGCAATGGTCATCGTAGATCAGTTTTACAAAACCAAACCATGCGCGCTCAACGAGGTCGGCAAATGCACGAAGGGCGAGGCCTGCACTTTCGCCCACGGCGTGCACGAGCTGGTGCAATGCGTGAACCTCACCAAAACTGCCATTTGCCAAAAGTGGCTGCAGGGCAAGTGCGGCTTCACGTCCAACCTTTGCCGCTTCGCGCACGGCGAGGCCGACTTGCGCAGCACCTCCGACTACTACAAAACCGACCTTTGTCGCATCTGGAAGGCGGGACAGGTGTGCCAAGCGGGTAACAAGTGTCGCCACGCGCACGGCGAACACGAACTGCGCACGCGCGTCTACCGCAAGACGCAGCGCGACAAAAGCACTCCGAAGGCTGCCGCCGCAGCGCGCAAAGGCAAAACCCCTCCGCCTGCGCAAAAGCCGCCGCAGAAGTCCGCCCCGCCCAAAGACCCGTTTCTGCGGCTGCAAAAACAGATTTCCGACGAGTTCAACAGTCCGCTCGGCGACTTCAGCTTCGACGACATTTGCAGCACGAAGGACGAAGACGCGGCGCTTTGTTTCCAGAACACGATCTTCAAGAGCATTCCGCGCAAGATTTTTAGCGATAGTCTGACGAAGGGCAACTCGCAGACGACCTACTCCCTCGGGAGCAACTACTTGCTGGACACGTTCAGCTACTCTGCGCCCTACACAGAGCCTAACTACTGTTTGGGCGCTGATTTTTTCAAGAAAGCGGACGCCGCGCAGAAGGCGCAAGACAAATCGGAAGAGCTGCTCGACGCGTTGGCCGCCACGCCTTTTACGAAGTGCGACAAGGCCGCGAGTGTGCGGGGCGTTGACATCGACCACGTGTTCAACTTCAACACGCCCAAGAGCTTCGGCGCTCCCAGTTTGTTTCGCGCGAAGAACTGCGCAGCGAAGGACACAGATTCCGTTAACTTCTTTGAGAATGTCGAGGAGGACGCGATCTGTTTCACCAACGACTGGATCAGCAACAACAAAAAGCTGTTTTAAGCAGCGCTTTTTCGTTTAGTTTTTCACTCACGATCGGATAGGTAAAGTTAGCACATCATTTTTACGTCTTTATAGTTATGCACAATCATGGTTCGCTGTCCGCATCGTGGACGCGTCCGCGCTAGCCGCGGGTGTGCAAAAGTTTCTGCGCGCGTCTCGATCTCTCGCCGCACATCGAACTAGTTGTTTGCAAACATGCAGCGGCCCAAACTGGCGGTTACTGCATTCCTCCTCAGCCTGGCGCAGGGCTCCGAGTTAGCGCTTTACAAGCGGCTAGAGACTGCCGAGAGCGACGGGAAACGGCTCCCGAAACTGCGCGCCGCAGAGATCACAGTGCAGGCGGAACCGGTCTACGAGTGTCCCGAAAACTTCATCAAGAAGGGAAATGTCTGCCACCGCATCATCTACACCACGCCGTACTACACATGTCCGGAGGGCTGGGTGAAGGACAATCTCAACAAAATGTGCACCGGGTTCCACGTGGAAGAGCCGGAGTTCTTGTGCGACAAAGGCACACGCAAGCGCGACGCCTGCGTCGAAGTGGTGCGCTTCCCCATCGAACTGAAGTGCCCGAACGGCTTCAATTTGAACCTTGCGACTGCGACCTGCGAGCTGCTGCGGCGCAGCCCGACGATCGCGGTGTGCTCGCCAGGCAGCGTGTTGGTGAACGGCGCGTGCATCAACACTGAGCGCGTGCCGGTTGAAAAGCGCTGCCCCGGCGCCTCGCGACTGGTAGACGGCCTTTGCGAGCTGACGGACACGGCGGTGGCGCTGAAGCGCTGCCCGGTAGGGTTCCGGCTTTCGGGCGACGTCTGCACGATGGAGGTGCACGCGAGCCCAGACTTAGTTTGCGCGCGCGGAGCGCTAGAAGACGGCTTCTGTCGCGAAGTGTTGACTGCACCGCCGGTGGCGCACTGTCCGCCGGGCGCGGAGCTACTCTCGGCAGACTCGTGCTCGATTACCTCTGCGATACCACCGGTCCCGCAGTGTCTCGGCGTGGCCGTCTACGACGCGGACCAAAACGTTTGCATCGCAGAAGAAATCGTGACCGCGACGACGGAGTGCGGCGTGGGTCGGTCGCTGGCGCACAAGCGCTCGCTGTGCAAAGACGCCTCGGTGAAAAAAATTCCCGAGTTCTACTGTCCCGAAGACTACGTGAAGTTAAACAACTCGACTTGCGTTCGGAAAATCACGCAGTCGCCGCAGTTCGTGTGCCGCGAGCCGTACTACCTGGCGGCCACTGGCGAGTGCCTCTCGACGCAGGTGGTGGCGAGCACGTTCGAGTGTCCCGCGGGCTACTCGTACCGCGACATGCAGTGCATCTCGGTGGTTGACCGGCCGCCGACGCTGACGTGCGCAGCGCCCGCGGAGTTGCGCGACACCACGTGCCTGAGCGAGTTGGCGATGCCGGCAGAGCGCGTATGCGAGGCGGGCTTCTACTTGGGTCTCGACTCTGAGTGCGTGCTGAGGCGTCTCGAAGCGCCGACGCTGACGTGCCCGCCGGGGTACGACTTGGCGCAGGTGAAGAACGAGCACTACTGCGTGAAGCAAGAAGCGGTGAGTCCGGAGCGCAAGTGCGTCGGCACGCAGGTGCGACAGGACGCAGAGTGCGTGGAGCTCGTGACGGCGGACGCGAGCTACGAGTGTCCGAAGGGCACCTCGGCGGAGCTGGACGCGCAGCAGTGCTACGCGCTGCGCAGCCACGAGCTGCTGACGCTGTGTCCGAACGACTACGCGTACAGCAACGGGAAGTGTCTGCGCATGATAGAGGAGCCGCAGAAGCACGAGTGCCCGCCGGAGTTTGAGCTGAGCAGCGCGAACATGTGCGTGCGGCGCTTGGAGGAGAACGCGCTGGCGGTGTGTCCGCAGGGCTACAACTTCGACAAGGCGCAGGCGAAGTGTGTGAATCACTCGCGCGAGTACGAGTTTGACGAGGACGTGCGGCACGAGCCCGAGAAGCAGAAGCCGCTGGCGCCGTACAAGAAGCACGCGGACGACCAAAAGCCGCAGGCGCCGGTGCCAGAGCCGGTGCCGGTGCCGGTGCCGGTGCCGGTGCCGGTGCTGACGACGACCGCCGCGCCGAGCACGGTGGTGGTGGCGATGCAGCGGCCGGTGGTCGAACGCGGAATAATCGTGAAGCAGGAGAAGATATTGCTGAAGGGCCCAACGGAGCGGATGGACGGCGTAGTGCAACAGCTGAAAGACGGCTCGGACCCGAACGCGGTGGCGCACGCGCACGTGAGCGTGTTGGTGGAAGACGAAACGCCGGCGCGCGGCGCGTAGTAGATGTTCGTTTTGGTTTGGACGCGGCCGACGTGGTCGCGCAGATCGGGTGCACGCGTTGATCTAAATGTCAGACGGCGCGGAGATGGTCGAAACGCACTGGGCAGCGGCGGCGGCTGCGGCGCCGGAGTCGCGCGACGCAGCGCAGGCTGAGGTCGGCGAAGACTGCGGCGGCGCAGCGCTGCTGCAGCGGCTGTTCGCGGAGCTGCAGCGCGACCGGCGCGCGCTGGCGGCGGAGCTGGCGCGGGCGCGCGCGGCTGAGCAAGCGAGGCGCGTCGCGCAGCGCAGAAGAAGTTTAG